AAGCTTCAGCTCAAAGTGAAGGGTTACAAGAGACAAGCTGAGGAGGCTGTAAGTTAGACGCCTTCTGTGACATATTATTTTTAATGAATTCAGTCTTGTCTCGCAACTGTGTCAGTATAACCCTGCATCCTTCATAGGAGGAGCAGGCCAACACCCACATGTCCAGGCTCAGAAAGGTTCAGCATGAGCTGGAGGAAGCTCAGGAGCGCGCTGACATCGCTGAGTCCCAGGTGAACAAGCTGAGAGCCAAGAGCCGGGATGTTGGAAAGGTAATGGTTCTTTTGGTTGGTTGACAATCATAACATTACAATGTTACAAATACTTAAGCTAATGGCCAAATGATTTAAGACTAATAATATCTTCAATAATCTTATTATCATTATTATTACTATTATTATTATTATTAGTAGTAGTAGTAGTAGTAGTAGTAGTAGAATAGGGCTATGCAATGTGGAACAGTCTGTAGTAAAGCTAACTCAGCTGGAACCACTAACAAGTTTCTGTTCGAGATTATGTTCGGACTTAACAGTGAATCAGTGAGACTTGTAACAGTGAGACACTCACTGTTGTGGAATGACAATTGGCTTAATATAAGCTGAAAACCATTGTAGGAATTCAAGTACTCTCCTGCGGCTACTTGTTGGCTAGAGTGCTCAATGCTCTGAGAGTTCAGCGATGTGACAGTCAGAATAAATTAATAGGAATCCTAATCGCACTCTAAATTTATAACTAGTACTGGTTGCCAACAGAGCTCATTGGTAAACACAGTGCTGACTGATATTTTTGATATAAAAAAGGTCTTACAGGCCGCTACTGGTAATCGTGTTGCTGTGTGATTTAGAGATTGTCACTGTACAAACATTACCAATAATCTTATTTTTCTAATCTTCATTCCAGTCTGATGCTGCTGAGTAGGAGACAACATCTGATGGATCACCTAACAGAGTTCATAAAATATGAAAATCTGTTGTGATGTTTACATATTAATTAAAGAACTCTTGACTGTACTGTTGCTTTATTTCTTTTTTTCTTCCCAAGACATGCTCAGTGTATTGAGCCAGCACAGTTTAACTGAAATAACTTAAGCCCCAGATTTAGGTTATCTGTTCAGAAATCTAAAATAGGATTGTTTACAGAGGCACAAAACTAGTTATTAAAATATAGGTTTTTATTGACTTTTATTGCACAGATAACTAGTACAATCGTCCCTATTATTTTACTATTGCTTTATTTACTTATGTGGCAAAACTAGGGTGAGCGCCATAACAGAGAATCCGAATGTGAAGGACATGGATGTAACTATACACGATGTACAGCAGGCTCTGCAACCAGGAAGGAATGATTATCAGCAGTTAAAGGGGCTCTTGCATTTGCGGCGCCACAGGAAACACAGGTGTTGCTGGACCTTGGGGAAGATGCTATTTATGTGAACACTGCACGCTAACTGATTGTCCATCTGTGTGCCAAGATATTTTTAGGAGTTGGGCATTGCGGCGCATATAGACAACTGCAGGGGAGTGGCCGCCAAGACATTTGACGTAAGGACAGTTTCCTTTGTTTAGAAAGACACTGGTAGTATCATATGACAGACTCAAGCTTTGGTCCCTTTATTTAACATAGATGTCAGTATGTATTTAATGAAAGATGGACTGATTTAGCATGCCGTAATTATATGCTTAAATTGTAAAGGAAGTAACTACATATCAGTGTTATTTCATTCATGCCTCATTAAAGCACAGTTGTTAAGGCATTTTCATTGATTACATTAATATCAAACACTGGCCTGATTCAAGTGTCTACAAGGAGTCAAACACTGCTTAGTTCACAAGCATATCAAAACCCACAGTGCCTGCGTGCTATCACAGTAGAGTAGAATAACAAGAACATGAATCAAAGCACTACAATTAAGATTATTTTATATAATAGGCTTATTTCAGCATGCTAATTAGAATTAGCTTCTCAGTAATCTTGTGCAAAAATATTTTCAAGTGTATACAGTAAGCTTTATAGTTAGGCTCACCTTCTCCAACTTTCTTTTTCCCACCTCTTCACAAATGACTGCATTTAATGTTACACTGATTTGTTAGGTTCCTAGTTATATATCACCTCAAACCTCAGTCCTATAAAGTGAGCACATGGTAGATCCCCCCTGCTCTGTCAGTGTCCTTTATTCTGAAAGCATGTAACAAGGAAAACTAAAACACACAACGAAAAACAGAGAGAGCTTCAACCACACCACGTTTGGTTATCTCAGTGACACACTACCCTGTCACGGAACAATCTAGCACTCTTTTAAACCTTCTCAGGCTCCTCCTTGCCAGACATGCTTGGCATTGTTATCTCAGTTTAAGGGCTTAGGGAGGAGGCTCGTCTATAAGCATCTACAGACACAAGGCCATACAAAGGAGAAGGTCAGTCGGGACAATCTGTCCCCACTTGCAACCATCTTCACCTTCTAAAAAAGACGTTCCACCTAGTTGCACTATAACCTAAATATGCAAGTTTAAACTGAAGTATGCAGTAAACAATCACAGAAATACCTCATGAATTAATGAAAGATACATGTAAGTGTTTACTCATTACACTTAAAAAAAAAAAAAAGAAAAAAAAATGCTCATATGTACACTGAAAATGTGGATCTGAATCTGTTTGAGTGTATTCAGTTATAATCTGTGTTTCAAAATGTGTAAACAGAATTTATTAACCTTAATCAGCTCAATATTTTCAATCACAGAATTATAGTAAATTCTATTTTTTATAGACAACACCAAGAAGAACCACATCATCAGTGTTTCATAGATGTTTCCTTTCAGACAACTGTGATGACAAATTTAAGTTGGGATTTCACTGTTAAAGGTGACTTCTGAAGAGGTTTAATATAATTTGCAACAGCTGTTGCATTGTGTCACCAGAGATGAGACACAATGGTCCCTGTGTATTCAAAGTAGTCCAGTGCATAGCTATGCATAGCTATACATACCATTTGTAACAAACCTCCAGCTGTAGATAAAAATTAACCATATATATGTGTGTGTGTGTGTGTAATTATCTCCCACTGTTGTGCAAAAATAGCTTGGATGTATTTAAGCACAACAAGGCTTTGCTCAAACAAGTTGTCTAAAAAAACGATGAAGACCTTCGACCTTACTTGAATAGTATGTTGGACACATGCTACTCAGGTTGACTGAAAAAACTGAAGCCTTTTGACCTTACTCGAATAGCATGTGTGCACCACATGTTTGCACAGTAGCCCACCTACCTATCGAGGTCACATGGGTGACATTCCTCAAGGTCATCTTTTTTTGAAGAAAGAAGGTTAAGCAAATATAAAAAGGCAACAGGACACTCAGCAATCTAGTTTAAAAATATATCAGAGGGTTCTTCTAAAGAAGAAAAATATAAGCACATGTTTATTTGTCTTTGTTTATTATATATTCATATTTTAACTAACTCTAATCCTGGATACAGTTTTCATTCATGGTACTATTACAGTTCTGGCATCTCTAGCATCTTGTTTATTGGCGCAGGACTTATTTTGGGTCTTATCCCAGCCTAGATGGCAACTGTTCATCCACTCCATTCCAAGATGATATGTAATCTCTCCTCAGCTTTTATGGAATGGTGCTCAGCCTCAATTTTATTTCAGACATCTGAGATGTGTGCCTGTCCTGCAACTGTATACCAATGACATTTACATGCTTCTCCAAAACCACAGCCTGTGCCATGATATCGTCCAGTAAGATGATTACTTACACTGAAAAGCATCAGGGAATTTGTATTTATCATCAACACATATAGATGACAGACATGTATGTTAATGAAGTGGCATATATATACATATATATATGTGTGTGTGTGTGTGTGTGTGTGTGTGTGTTATATATAAAAATGCATTTATTTCCCAGGGGACAAACATGTGGAGTCCGTGCTCAACAGATTCCCAAAAAATGTTCTACAGATTACTGTTGGACATATCTGGTGACCTACAACTGTATGGTGATATGATAAAATAAAAGATAAAAATTTAAAATAATAAGGAAATATTTTAGGACTGCAAATAAAATACGCCATTAGACTGATGCTAAAATCTTTTTAAATCTATGGCTACAAACAGAATGTCTGACCCTGTTTTACTGGTCTACCAAATCTGAAGTGTGAACTGCAACTGTGCCCCAGGGACATTGCAGTGCTTCTCCAAAACCAACAAATGTAATTGAAGCTTGAATTTCTTAATTTATCTACAGCTTTTAAAGCACAAAGTTACTCAGACAAACAAAGCAAGCTATATGCTTAAGAATAAATTTTAAAAAAGGAATCTTGTGTTTCTGTTCAATACCAAACATTGCCCTGTATTAATAGAGATTAATAGAATATCTCTAATTTAACAATAACAGCAATATCAGTGCTGCTCTTTTATACATTTGTGTATGCATATCCATTACAGATGTATAATGAATATCTAAGACAATCTAAGATATGTGTAACATTAGGCAAAAAAAATGATTGTGTCCTCATTGAATTTTAAAATGCTTTAAGCAGCATTGTGCCTTTGACTATTCAGTTTGGACCCGAGGGAAAAAATACCTGCAGTTACAAACGTGCTTACAAGGGAGTATAATCACCGTAAATGTCAATGTCACAGGATTAGCGACAACATGACAAGAATACATGACCAAACTGAGCAGGGCACACCTACTGAGGAGACAGTCCTCCCTCTATAAAAGAGACAGCTTAGGACTCTGACAATGACTGGTAGGTTTCCAGCTCAGGTAAGCACATTAGCTTTAGTTTGTTTTCTATTGGGAAGCACTAATTAATTGTTCCTGTGTATGTATGCAAAAAGGATTATTTACCTAATTTAATAGTCTATTCATGTTGCAAAGAAACATGTTTGGTTTTTTCTTGTAAATGCCCATATTTTGAAACGAACAGAAACCTCAATAATTATTGTAATCATGCTTGACAATTTATAGGATCAAAGCAACATACCTGACTATATTCCATCTTCTGCTGGGACCAAAGGGGGTAAATTATAGTTTTGTTTTTTGTGATGTCCCCAATTTCAAAACACATCTCACCCAATAAGCCTACCAACAGCATGTTAATATTTATTATAAACAATGCAAGAGAAATTCAGCCAGTATGACCTCCTATTTTCAGCCATCTAAAGTGCCATCATGAGCACGGACGCGGAGATGGAGGCCTATGGGCCTGCAGCCATCTACCTCCGGAAGCCAGAGAAGGAGAGGATTGAGGCCCAGACTGCTCCATTTGATGCCAAGACAGCTTTCTTTGTGGCTGATAATGATGAGATGTACCTCAAGGGTAAACTAGTCAAAAGAGAGGGCGGCAAAGCCACGGTTGACACAGTTACAGGAAAGGTAAGGAGAAAACTGCTTTGATTAAACTTGCAACAAAATAGACTGAGATTATTCAAGAAGTTCCTTTGGTATTAATAAAGATTTATTTTATCTTATTAATGTCATTGAACTATAGTATGATGACATATCTATGTAATGTATAATCAAAATATATGTTTAATTGTTTTTTTCCTATTCAGACTCTCACTGTAAAGGAGGAGGACATCCATCCCATGAATCCTCCAAAGTTTGACAAGATTGAGGACATGGCCATGATGACCCACCTCAACGAGCCTGCTGTGCTGTATAACCTCAAAGAGCGTTTTGCATCATGGATGATCTACGTACGTTTCAATCTGATCATATAGTTTGCTTCTATCTGTAAAGCCTGTGCATCAAATCTGATAATGTTTCTCTCTTTCATACTGCAGACCTACTCCGGCCTGTTCTGCGTCGTCGTGAATCCCTACAAGTGGCTTCCTGTGTACGATGCTCAGGTTGTTGGGGCATACAGAGGCAAGAAGAGGATTGAGGCTCCACCCCACATCTTCTCCATCTCTGACAATGCCTATCAGTTCATGCTCACTGGTAAGATAAGAATTACAACAGAATTTAGGTGGATGAGGCAAAGAAATAAGTAGCAAATGCAAGTTTAACTTGTACACTTGTGTTTTAGATCGTGAGAACCAGTCTATCCTCATTACGTGAGTATAAAACATGTCAGGAAGAATAGACTAGGAATTTCATAATTTTATCGCTAAGTAAAGATGATCCTTTTAATCCCCAGCGGAGAATCTGGTGCAGGAAAAACTGTCAACACCAAGCGTGTCATCCAGTACTTTGCAACAATTGCAGTGGCTGGAGCTAAGAAAGCAGAAACAGGAAAAATCCAGGTAAAACATAGTGCTAAACATCATTGCCACAGTTAATTGTTGCTGTTTTTACACAACCTCATAATGTTTCTGTGTAGGGCTCCCTTGAGGACCAGATTATTGCAGCCAACCCTCTGCTGGAGGCCTATGGTAATGCCAAGACTGTGAGGAATGACAACTCCTCTCGTTTCGTAAGTGTTGAAAGGACGAAGAATAAACACAAGCTTTTTGGGCTGCTTATCAAGACCCTTCTAACTTAATTTTGATATGCTTAGGGTAAATTCATCAGAATTCACTTTGGAACCAGTGGCAAACTGGCCTCAGCAGATATTGAAACATGTAAGTAGTTTTCTATATTTTGTTCAGTCGCATGTATTTGAATTTAAATGTCAGTATGATGCTATTTTTTTGCGATTGTGTGATGTCATGAATAAATTATACTCTTGACTGACACTGATGTATTAAACATAGATCTGCTGGAGAAGTCCCGTGTCACCTTCCAGTTGTCTGCTGAGAGGAGCTACCATATCTTCTATCAGCTGATGACTGGACACAAGCCTGAGCTCCTGGGTATGTTACTACATTATTA